ATTAGGATTATTACTTTATTTGAAGGATTAAGAAAGTGCCCACAATCCTTTATTTGAAGGATTAAGAAAGTAAGTAAGTGCTTTTAATTTAGCAGTTTGTTTTCACTCTACATCTTGGAGTAGAACTAGGAATTAGGAAGCCTGTGCCTGAATGAAATATCCACGATTCACTGCTTACTCTTGAGTCATTTGACAATATTGAGCATCTGCTGCTAATAGGCACTGCTTTGGACATCAAGCATTATTCTGGGAGGTTTCTGATCTTCAGATATGTCACCAGCATTCCAAAGCTTTTTCCTCCTCTGTAAAATGGACATGACATCTACCTTCTGATTTGTAAGGTTACTTTGAAGCTCAAGTGAGGCAATATACATGAAAGCACTTTGAAGAAAAGACTTTGTAAAAGCACCATCAGAATGAGACTTTTTGGTTAAGATATAAATATACTGGTGCAAGTTGTTGAGCACATGTTATAGGAATGTGGTTCAGGGTGAGTATGTCTGGACCCTCTCAAAGCAAGTTTATTATTCATAGTTTGTAGAACACAGGTACTACAAAAAGTCCATGGAAAAATAGGATTATGAGGGTACTTCAAAAAGTTCATGGAAAAATAAAATTGAAAGATAATAAGAATCTTTCCATGAACTTTTTGAGTACTACAAAAAGTCCATGGAAAAATAGGATTATGAGGGTAGTTCAAAAAGTTCATGGAAAAATAAAATTGAAAGATAATAAGAATCTTTCCATGAACTTTTTGAAGTACCCGCATAGTTCCTGAAGGTGTTTTTAAACATTTTATTAAAACTGTAGGTATGCTTCTTTATAATAGTTTATAAAATAGTAATAGGCTTCACCATAAAACTATTTCTTTTTTGAAACCTACTTCTGGAGAATATTAAAATATCAAATAGTCGGTATAAAATGATTTTCCTTTAGAAATTGTAGTTGCAAAAAAATTGTCAACTTATGTGTGCCTATGACTATAAGTTACTATCATTATTATTAACTAAGCCAATAACCAGTAGTTTCATTAATTATTAAATGCTTTATGAACAATTCTTCATTGAATACTTATAGCAATCCCATGAGGTAGGTATATTAGCCCCATTTTATAGGATTAGAATCCAAGTTACTGCAAAGTCCATGCTCTTAATCAGTACACTACATTACACAATAAAAACACCAGAAGAAAAAAGGCATAATCATTTCTATCTTCATCAAATCACGTGTGTAAAGAGAATCGTTAATCAAAGGACTCAAAACTGTGTTCTGATTGGTAAAAGTGACTTTAGAAAAGTTATTATGTAAGTGCTTACAATTCAGTTAATTTGAAATCTTTAAAAAACTTAAGTTTTTTTTTCTAGTTTTAAAAATAACACATTACTCACTGAAAAAAAACACAGAGAAGGAGAATTAAAATAAAGACATCCATAATTCATTCAGGAGAAACATTATTGACATATTCTCTTTACACATTTTTATGTAATTGTGAACTATGAAATTTAGTTAGTTTCTGATTATTGTTCTTAAACATGATGCCAATATAATGGCTATACTGAAGTCTTTTTAATTGGCAGATATAAATTAATAGTAAATTCCATGCAGGCAAAAAAGAAAATTATTATACTATAGGGATAAGCATTTTCAGTATCTTCTCAAATTTTCCAACTATGGAAAAACAAGTAAAGAATAACTTATCTCAGTGGTATTAGCTCCAAAGTATATTGGCCATAAAAGAAACATATGTAATTTTTGAACTGATCTTTGTATCTGTGTATGTATATACATATACACATACACTCAACTACACATTTAAATTTTTTGTGGGCTGCATTAATATTTATAGGCTGTCTGGTTAGTTCACTTGGTTAGCGTGTGGTGCTGATAACGCCGAGCAATTTCAAGGTTTCAGATCCCCATACCGGCCAGCTGCCGGAAAATAAAAAATAAAAAAAAGATTTGTAGCCTTCTGAAGGTCTGATACAATATATAATATTATAACAATATAACATATATTTTATTATAACACTAAGTATATTATTGGAACGGTAAAGAAGAAAATTGTTTTTCATAGTCACTGAACTTTACCAAAGTCACACTTATGGGTGATTAAACTGCAAGGTTTCCCTTGTGGACAGGTTAAATATTTGCCTGAGACAGAGTGTTCGAGATAAGCAAAATTCTTTACAGGGATCATATCAATCCTGAGTGTAAATTAAGAAAAAATACTATCACAAAGAGAGGAGGAAAACATAGTGACATGCCAGCAGAAAAATTTAGGGCAAAGACTCTAGGTATTATGTTAAATTGCGTGTAATGCCACATCTGACATTTTGATTAAGGTGACTTACACCAAAATCTTGCTCTTTTTAAACTATCACTGGACATAATAATTTATGTAACAAGAATAGCAAAAGTTAAAAAAATATACAGAAGTCCTTACAGAAAACAGAAGGCAGAAATGGATCAAAAATTTTTTAAAATAAACTTTCTACTGCTTCCTCTTATGTAATATATTTATGTTAGTCATAAATTCTAGAAACCTATTCATATTGCTTTAGTGTGATGAATCCAAAACCATACTAATCCACTATAAGTAACATTTTTAACGTAAAAAACAATGCAGACTGGTAGTAAGAATAAGAATATTCAGTAAAACTGGACTTTGAAAGAAAAGAAAAAGTATAAGTTTAAGACTAAATTAAAACTGTC